TTCATCATCAGACTTTGACTAATAGGGAATTAATTAATGCAACAACGGGGAGCAGAGCCACAGTGTGCACTAACAAACAGAGCAGGGGCATGCAGGGAATCTAACTCTGATCAAAGCCCCTGGTTTACTTTTAATCTTAACAAAACATGGTTTTAAGTTTGCGGCAGATTGTTCCTGGTGCATAATTAAAGCTCGACTGTGACATTGCAGTAGTTTTATAACACAGCATCCAACTCTAAAGCATTTCAGCTGCTGTAAGTGGGTTGAGCCCACTGCAGCTGTCAAAGGATGTCTATGTGCCACTTTTTAAAGCCAGTGTTAGAAAATAGGATTGATGCCCTGGCATGTGTGGAACAGCAAAAACAAAAATAGAAGAGAATATGCTCACTTAGTTCTTGTCCAGTCGGTGGACAAATGCACAGCCTGCCTACTGCCTGACACTCCAGATGGTTTTGCACACAGAACTATGTGGGATGTTTTGGCAGGTAATGGGAGACACCTTTTGTCTATTGCTGTATCACAGGTGGCATTTAACCAATCAGATCAGCGAACCACCACCCGTGAAGACAGCTGGTGAATCAAACTCAGCTGAGAGAAGAGGGAAGCATGTTTTCCACTGAGGAAACGTTCATCTTTGTTTGAACCCTCTGTGGTTCTCATTAACTTAATACTTAAGCAGGGATGGACACTAATCTCTTCAGAAGCCTTCATGGTTGTTTTTAAAGGACTGTCGTCACACAGGAAACACACCTGTAGATGCCATGAGGTTCTGCCGCAAGCTCACCTGCAGAGACAACCTCTGGCTGTTGAACCATAACTTCCTCAGTCTGTGCAAGCAACTTTACAGAATCAATATCTGTAAATGTTACATGCATGCAGTGTTTCAGTACATACACTTATATATTAAGCACTTTGAAGGCACAGAAGACGAGGCACACACTGTATCAATACCCATCCCAACTTTTCCTTTCCTCATGTTCTGCAAAATCAGCTTATTGATGGAATATGTCAGTCTGTAACAGCAGTATACATCCAGTGCCCTATATTCATGCTCCCTGTGCAGCACAGCTCAGAGCTCACGCTGGCTTCACACACAGGAGAAACATGGATTATGGCACACAGAGAGTTTGAGACCATTACCACCAACAATGACTAAGTTGATTAGGGTTCCTTGATTTATGTGCGTGTTTGTCTGCAGAAATATATTCCAGTAAAACATTGGAGCCTAAGCTGGCTCAGACAAACGCACCAAATAAATCACTTTAATTAAGACTATTTTTGTCACTCCACAGTTTTTCCACCACGGTGCTCAGCAAAAATCTTGCACAAATGTCACCTCATTTTTAAAAACACTTCTTATGGGTAAAAGTTATTATATCCATAAGAGCTAAAGTGTGCAGTTCAACCTGCATTAATCCAGCTGCAAGACGTTCATATACAGGGTATATACTACTGGCTCACAACCTCTCTCTGACTGCATATATAGCATCGGCCATTTTCAAATGTTGCAGAGTTTGTGAAAGACACACATGTGTGTCGTTCAGCATTGCTCATTCTTCACAGTATTAAAGTGCAGAATGCTGGTTAAAAAGCAAAGACACAACACTTCAACGTCAGTTTTATAACATGCTCCTATTGTGCTGCAGTGTTGAACAGTTACAGGGTTAGCAGGTTGCTTTAGTAAAAACAGTGATGCCGTACTCCCAGGAAACTAAAACAAAACATTTAAAAACTACCCAGACTACTTTACGCTTTATGGCGTGTCATGACTGTTGCACTGCAGTGCTGCTGCTGGCACCTTGTGGAGTCACAGTCTGAGTTAGCTGCTGCGCTCTCACTGATAGAGAAGGATGGAAAACACCTTTTGTTTTGTTTGCACCGATAAATGCTGCTGCCTGCAAGCTGCAGTCAGAACATTATTCAGTTTTTGCTTCTATAGTGTAAAAGTCATATAGTTTCCTCGAATTATCACGATACAATGTGAAGGTTATACCAACAAACCCTACTATCCACACAACACTTCCAGTGGAAGCTGAGCTCAGCTGCATGTGCTGCGTAATCCTCTAAAGCATTACATTGCACATCTCTCCCACTCTGTTTCTACTTTGGAAGTGAACCTGCGCATCACTGTTTGGCCTGCAAAGACCAGCAGAGCTCCAAGAAGCCACACTTCGCTTTTTATGGTTTAATATGAACAGTAAGACTTGTGAAATGTAGAAAAATGGGTTTTAGTACTGCAACCTCACTCTTTCAGAGATCGGTGGCTCATCAGAAACAAAACAACTTCCTCATCATAGCTTTAAACAGACGCTTCATCAGTAACACACACATACGCATTTATTCCGTGGACTTCTCATGAGGGAGTGACACAAGTCATTTCTTTATCAGAAAATGCAGAATGCTGCAATTTGCAAAGGAGAGAAGAGGCAGAAATCTAGTTTGTCGCCCCACTGTGGGGTTTCTGACACACTTACAACGCTGCCACATAGAATGGGAGAAAGTAAATGCGGCACACTGTGTAGTAAATAATGACAGGCGCAAAAGTCATCACCACTTCAACAAAGAATTACAACTTCTGCGATGCCACATAATCGAAACACAATTCTTGCATTTGTTTTTAAAAACACTGGAGTGGAAACAGAAAAATCCATCAGCCTTAAAAGCGTTGATTGCACACGTCTCCCTAACATCACAATAACACGACTACACAACAAACTATATTTCTTCTGTAAGATCTTTAGGAGATAGTAATGATGGGTCCTACAGCTCTGCTGCTGTGTGCCATCCATGGCTCCATTTATATCTTAATGTCAATAATTGTATTTATTTATTTATTATATTATATAACTGCCCTTCTGTGCAGCCCCACAATGTTTCTGTTTCAGTGTTTCTTATGCATACACCATGTATATCGTTCACTCACACATATGTATACATATATATTGCTTTTTATGTTTTTCCCTCGTTGTAGATTGTTTTCTCTTCTCTACTTTTGCACCTTTGTGGTCCAGCTACCCAAATCTGCTGTGCAAGAAACTGCACAATGACAATAAAACCCTCTAAGTCTCTAAGACGGGAGTGACAGGACGCCGAGTCAAGAGCCAGCATGTGTGAGTAGCTCTGGGTATCAGAGAGCTGCAGGGTGTGAGTGAGTTTAGCCTGCTGTGTGTGCGGCTGCCTGTGGTGTGTCTGAAGCATACACGCGCAGGTATGGGTATATTGTATGGGTGTTGTAGTCTAGTTAGTTAGTTAAATAGTAAGTTAAATAACTGTTCATTATGACACATGACTATAGTCACCAAGGCCAGGAGCATCGCTGCATTGTACATGTTTGTCCCCCAAAAAGACTTCTGCTTTCAGGGAATCGTCTCATGCTTCACTACTGAAATATCTGTCCACTGTTTAAACTGCGTAATACGTCAGTCAGCACACTTCTAGACCCCCATACAGAAGGTCAGTTTGAGTGTGTGCAGCTCATAAATGTGCAGAATGTCTGCACGAGTGCTTCCTCAGGACATCAGATGTTTTTGAAACATGTAAATTATTTAGCCTTGTTTGCCGTTCAGCATCTTCTTCTCTGCTGCTCCGAGGGATCGCTGCGCTTGTCATCACCTATTTGATGCTGCCATCTACAGGCACAGCCCGGAAAGGCAGGCGCTCTGCTCACAACAAGCCCTGTTTGCCAGGCATTTGCCACACAGACTGAAGAGTACGAAGCTTTAAAGCTCAACCACAGTCGTACATTCAGCTGAGTCTAAAGGTACACTGATCCCTGAATAGACTGACAAACAGCAGACTCTGGACTCCACAGTTCAGAGGTCAGAGGGCAGGCGGAGGCAGTTCTTTAGGGGACTTTTGGGAACGTATGGGGCTTCACAACAAATATAGAAAAACACTCAGCAACTATGTGATGTTATTAGGGGCTCTTGTTTCGTAGGATTTCCTTTTCCTTCCACATGACCCCCCGCTGTTCTTCTTCTCTCTTCTCATTCAGTAAAGTCGTGCAGGAGGGAGGTTACACGGATGTCAGACATATATGTGCTGATGAAACCACCTCGTGATTTTTCCTTTCTTCTAACAGCTCTATAAATAGCACACAGCTGGTACTGCTTTCTCCATCTGCACTGTATCATAACTGCACCACTGGCTAATACACGTGTACACACACACACACACACACACACACACACACACACACACACACACACACACACACACACACACACACACACACCCTTTGATTTTGCCAGCTGCACCTTAGCATGATAACGTTTCGATAGAAGTAAAGCCCTCTGGATCTTGCAGGAGATTCAGGCGTTAATAAAAAAACATAAAAACGTTACTTTGCTAACAAAAAGCAGATTATTATGCAAATATCAATCAGATGAAGATGTCACTTCTGTAAGAACACATACTGGGACGCAGAAATATGCATATGTAAAGTCTATATAGCAGTTCAAAGACTCAGCACACTGTGAGCCAAGGACAGGTAATCTGTGATGGCACATCCCAGCTCACAGGCTCATCATCATCCTCTGAGTTTAAAAACAAACAAAAACAATCCTCAACTGCATCCAAAGTAGACAAGAAGCTGGTCTGGGGTGAGATGCCTTGCTTGGTAAATGCAGCAGTCGGTAGCACAGCAGAACAACGACTCCGATGAGCCTGTCCTGCCTTTAGAAGTTCAGTACAGGTGTCTATTGCGTCTTTTTAAGCAAATTACGTGAAAAAATACAGTTTTTCATGTGTGCAGAAGTACATGCTTATGCCTAGCCTCTGGACTGTTAGAAGTAAGCAGATTACTGGCCTACCACCTTTCAGCATCATCATCTCTTTGAAACTCGGTCAGTGGCCTTCACTCAAGCACTTTTTGCCCCGAAACACTTACAACAAGTGCAAATGGCTTGCAGGCCCTTGATGATTTATGCAGGCTGGCAAAATGTCACAAAAATAATGCCTCTGCTGGACATCGGGCACACTGCACATGGACTGTGTCCTACCTGTGTGACCTTCTCTGTGACGTTGTGTGTCCGGTCAATGAGTTTGCAGGGTGCTATGATGTCCATCTCCCCCGAGGGCAGAGCAATGAGTGGGTCCGGTTTGAAATCCACAAAATTGAGCGTGATCTGAGGGATTTTGGAAATGGTGCGGTACCGCATGAGGTCAGAGTCTGACGTGGAGTTCAGTATGTTCAACTTGCTGTTTACTGCACCTGGAAATATGCAAATGAAGTTCAACAATCAGATAAGAAAACCAGCAGGAAAACATTTGATCCCACCTGCGCCTTCTCACCGGTGCTGCTGCTGGCCGGCCGGATGCTTGGCCGCCGGTTCTTCCGATCCCATTCCGGCCTCATGGCCTCGATCTCGTCTACGGAGGAGGCGCGACGCATGCTGTGAAAGCTTTCTCGCGAGCGGCTGTGCGACAGAGAACAGTTGGAGGCCGAGCCTTCGGGGTTGAGGCTGAGCCGGTGGTGGGGTGCTACGCAGGGTGTGGAATGGGTGAGGGGACCCACCAGGTGGGCTCCGTGAGTTTGATGTGGTGGAACGGCTACTGGAGGCTCAGAGCACAATAAGGTGCGTTGGTCTTCCTGGCGGTCTTCAGGCCAACTCTGTAGCGCTGACCTGGGAAACACAAACAACGAATATTTCCAGATCCGAGAGACTCCAGTGTCCTGGTAATCAGCCAGGACACTGGACATTGTTGACTGAAGTCAAAGAATTTCACAATGAGCTCAAAAAGGCCATAAACACGAGAGATGAATCCCTGTGACTGGAGTTAGCAGAGGTGATGAGGCACAGACAGCTGGCAGCTTTGCAGCCAGTGTCTGCAGCAACATGTAGCTTAAAGCTGAAATTAACTTTAGAGTGATTTTAGAATGTGAACATGTTCATCTCAGCAGTAATGTTGAAATCAAGCATCTACCTGCTTCCACTCAGCTTCTCCTGGTGATTTGGTGGCAGTGGGGGGAGGGGCAGAAATTCCCCCAGACCTAAGGACTCGGGGCTACGGTGGTCCTCTGGGTGTAGCGACACCGGCGTTGCTGTGGGGATGTGTCCGGCCTCTGCGTCGTCCAGAGAAGCTTTACTGTTGGACAGGGAGCGCAGCAGGGGGAGACGCAGCTTGAAGCCTCGTGGGCGACCTGGTGGTGAGACGGAGGAGGGATAAGACTATTAACCTGGAGAGTGACAGGTGCACCTCCAATATGGCAGAAATGGGTATTATATTAGAATAGTGAGACAAGCACAAACAGCTGGAGCATGTTTTCAGTGGTAGGCGTCATGCTAGGACAGAGAAAGAGCTAAACATGCATCAGCCTTCAGAATAAAGCTGCAAAACCAATCGACCAGAATGCAGGGGCAGCAACTCGGATTAAAATGTGGGCTTAGCCACAAAGTTATGAGATACTTGATTCCGGATATTGCTGTGTCCTATTCCAGATGCTGCTCCCCTGGGTTATCCCTCTAGGACATTAAGAGCATAGATCGACAGCTAACACAAATATTCAGGATTTACAAGAACAAAAGCATCTAATAATAGCAGGACCACCTGGTCTATCTGGAAGGCAGAATGAACAGTTGATCCAGGTGAAGCAAAGTGAGCATCACGTCCAATTTGGATTAAAAAACATGGGAATTAAATAAGCAGCAATACATCCCGAAAATGTTCCACACTGAGCCACAAACGACACTCACTCTACTTATACCTCACTAAACCAAAGAGAAAACACAATCAGCTGTGTGGAGCACGCTGTCTCATTGTGCATCACGGGCCACATACACAACATTGTGATATTAGGGGACACACACAAGTGAAGCTGCCCTTTCTGTTCAACTACAAATTTAGCTGAGATGCCAAAATATAAGAAAACAGTTTTAATTTTTCCACATGCTAAACAAACGCTGCTGCAGTACAAGAAATGTGTCAGTGTGATTCTCTGGACTTAAACTATAAGAAAAAAATGGTGAAATGAAAGAAAAAGTCGTGGTAGCTCATCACCCCGACTGTACTGCAGTTACAGAGTAATTACAAATTACACATGTCACTTTTACATTAATGTTTTTTACTTCCCAAAGGGTCACACCGTCACACTTTCTGTCTAGTGGGCCAGATTTGAGTTTTTGCTGGGCCAACTCTGGCCCAGGGCCTTATGTTTGACACCGGTGGTGTAATAACAGAAACGAAAGCTGCATTCACATAAGGGCGTCAGAGATGCTTTTCTTGTCTTTGTGTAAACGGTGACGTTACAGGAAAAGCACAGAGAAGAACAGACAAACATCAAACGTTGCGCTCGTGGTTACCTGTGACGAGCCAGGTGGGCAGGCGGTGGTTCAGCTCCTGTTTGTGGTCTCGGAGAGACTCGTCTGTCATGACCTCGAAATTGAGGATGAACATGATCACCACGCCATCCTCGTTCTTCACTGGCACCACATCCACCATACACAGGATGCACTGGCCTGCAGGGGGCAGAGCAGCAGATGGGGCAGGTTACGATGGCATGCACAGGCAGCGAGGCTGGGTTTAAAACTTGATTTCAAATTACTTTACAGTGGTGGTGTTACTGGAGCAACATCAAAGCACAGATAAGAGCAGAATTCAGTCAGAGTTCAAGCTTTGTGTAATGACTTTGTGAACGTCTACATAATCAGTTTGTTGAATCGTGTGAGCGTCTCAAATGCATCCGTGCATCTCACACTGTGAATTACAAAGGCCTGCTTTCACACACACACTCAAATATACTAAAGTACACGGTTCTCTCTCCTTATTAAATGTGCATCTGTGTTTAATCAGCTCACACACCATCTTCCATACGAGGGTAATCTGCCACACGAGTGCTAAAACAGCTAAGTAAGCGTGAAATGAAACCACACACAGGAGAGCGTCGCACAAACACAAAATAAGCTGCTATTCTGCTTTTGACACCATGAATGTGAGCTTGCAATTGCATTAACATGCATGTATACACACAGCAGTATCGTCATCATCCTCATCAGCAGCGTGATGTAAAATGATGATCTGACTGAAAGAAGTGAAGACAAAACTGTTGCAACATAGTATCAAAGTGGAGGAAATTCCAGGACATCTATTACACACATTCTGTGTACACAGTGAAATCTGTGAGTTTCCTTCTGTCCTTGAAAATGAGCAGAAACTCGACTCAAGTATCAGTCTGGCTAACGAATCTTATCTCCAAGCAGACATCCTCACAGACATCCCGAATATGACAGCACATAATACAAAATTACACATGAAAAACATTCTGAACTGAGTCAAACATATCAGTCCATCATATATGTAAATAAGGTTGTTCCACTTGGTTATTAAGAAAAGCTCAACCACACATATAAGATACTGGTTCCTGAATTATGTGGCAAATGAGCACTGGGCCCTTATTCAAAGAAGATCATGAGATGCACACTGAAAATAAAACTGCAAAATATTCCAAAAACTCCAAATACATGATACATAGATGCATGCCATGATTCAAACAGTACAGAAAGTGGACATGTGAACTGTTTGTTTCTTTTCATGTTGAACAGAAAGGATTTAATCCTATAAATTTACTCTCAAATATTCTTGTTTTACTGAAAATGATCCATGAAGTATGTCCTCCTGTTGCACGCTGTTTAAATACATTTTAATCGGTTTTGTTGACATTGTGATTCCAAACATCACACCAGCAAAACCTACAGTGAAATGCATCCAGTCTGCAACATCAACTTAAAGTGCACGAGCGTTTTGAGAACTTAAGCTTTTTAGTTTTGCACCGTAATCCTTCTTTTCTTATCTGTCGCCTTTAAACATGGACGCCAAACAAAGTTTCTTTCAAATTCCCTCTCATACCTGATCTGCCCGTCTGCAACTTACCTGCAGAGTGATGGTCAGTGAGCACCCTCGCAAGCGGAAGCTGTGGCAGTTTTCGCAATATGGAGCACTTGGGTATTCCGTGCAACCCAACGTGCAGGATCTACTGCATGCCTGCCTGACCCACCCACCAGCCTGCCATTCATCTCACATCATTGCTGGAGAGTAGGGCGAAATCCGATTGGACAACAGCATAATCCCAACACAGGAGGGGAAAAAATATGAAACCCAAGGGAAAATAGAGGATTACACCATCTGGCCATATCAGCGACGCATATAAACATGTGCCAGTTTAAATGCGTGCTTATATGTGCACATGTGTATAGATGACCAGGCTGATGTTCATTCACAAGTCACTGGGTCGTGTCCATTCATGTCATTAACAGCGTTCCCTGTGCATTTGTAGCTGTTTTCTTCTTTAATCGCTGAAGGTGTTGGAGCATCACCCCCAAAGCTGCTTTACAAAGCTCTGCATCCACGTGGCAAGGACAACGTGCACACAATCTAGAAATTTGAAAGCTTTGCTTTCCTCCGCAAGCGACTGTCCCGTGAAAAAGTGAGTGAGAAGTAAAAGATATTGCAGAGAATATGTCTGAGAAGATCTTTCAATAATGCTTCAGCTATTAAGTAATTTGAACTCTTTTATTATTTTTCTGAGTTAAATATGAACAATCATTCATATTCATTCACTGAACTGATGAAGAAACAGGATGGAGTGTGTCTGTGTTCGGGACTGGCACTGGGAGTGCACCAGCTTGGGCTTGTGTCTCCTCCAGCAGATTCTTTGAAAAATACTTGAAATTATAATATTATCAACAGATTAATGTGGATTAAATCTTTCCCTCACTGATATAATTACATTAGAGACATTAATAATCCGAGGACTAGCTCCTAATCTAATAGGAAATCATTACATGTCCCATGTTTGAGTCAGGATCATTCTTGTATACATGGGAACACTTTGGAAAGCTGGAAAGTTTGTGGGTGACAGATTTAGTAATATTTACTAATATGTACACTAACTAACATGAATGCACGCATGCACTGAAGTACAAAAGCAACCTGGACTCCCACTCTGGTTGCAGGGCCTCCTCATTAACACCCAGGAGGAAGCCACTGTGTTATTACTGTCTTAGCTGTTCCCAGGACTGCGCTCTTCTGGACAGAGATCTCCGCTGTTGTTCCCGGGATCTGCTGGAGCCACTCGCCTCGCTTGGGAGTCACTGCACCGAGTGCTCCGATTACCACTGGAACCACTGTTACTTTCACCCTCCACATCCTCTCCAGCTTCTTCAGAAGTACCCCAGCATTGGTACTTCTTAAGCTTCTCGTGTTCCTTCTTCCTGATGTTGCTGTCATTCGGAATCACTACATTCCGAATGACAGCAACATCAGGAAGATATATATCTATATGTACATAGCGCAAACCACTGCAACAGTTGCCTCAAGGCGCTTCGACTGTAAGGTAGTAACTCCATAGCATACGAGTGAAAACCCTGAGAATCACATGATCCCCATGAGTAGGCACGGGGCGACCACAAGAAGGAAAAGCTGCCTTTAACAGGAAGAAAGCTGACTGCAAAACCAGACCGGATGATTGAGCATGCATCAAAATGGGAATATGTTACCTTTCAAATCAAGTTACAGCTATTCTGTCCCTAGAAGTTGCTCTCTTATAAGATTTCTATTTGGATTTGCCACATAGGTGAAATTTCCTTCTGACGGGTTAGATGTGACCTTACTCTAAGCCTATAAACCCAACCTGTAACAGGTGACTGTCCACCTGGTGGATGCTGACAGGTTTCATTGCTGTTTAAGGGTTTAGAAAATGTTAGGGGTAGAATCCGTGTGTGGTTAGGCACTCGGTGATGGTTTACATTAAACAGCAGATGCATTACAGCAGCGACAGATTACCACAGATATAGGTCTACATGTGCCCTACATTTTTCAGCGTGGTGCAGATGGAGGATTACGCCTACGTACTTCAGGAATATCAGACCTTTCTTAATGTTGACCCTCATACTGTCTCCGTCTACTGTGAAAGATTTCCTCCGAGAGCATCTGAAACGAGCTGAGCTCTGAGGTTAACGGGGCAAATGGCATTTCATCTAAATGCTCCGCCTGGATTTATTCCAATTCAACATGTTCCAGCTGATAATCTGATTCACCGTTGCTGATTTACAAAGCTCTAGGAGATTATTACAATGCACTAAACACATAAAAAACTGCACATGGCAGACCCAGGGATAGCCCAGCATCATACACAGCAGTGTAGACAACTACAAGGACAAACACTGTGAAATGTAACATTTAAAAGCTTACTTGGATTTATTAATCAGATGGATTATTTATCAATAAGTGAGAAAATAGTTCCTACCAATATTCAGAAAGGTTTTGGGGGACAAATTAGAAACGTATCCTTCCTTGTAAAGATGAATTCAATTCAATTATATGGAACCAAATCACAAAAACAGCTGCCTCACGGTGGTTTGTACTGGAAGATATACGAGCCCCTACAAGCTTGCACTGGTGACAGCGGGACAGCATGAACACAACTGATCTCTACAATGTATCCACTGCCAAAAAGTACCAAAAATGACTCAAGTGGTTTAGAGCTATGTTTCCATAAACCTTTCGCTATGGCGATCTCCCACATGTGCGTACAGGTAGTCGACCAGCACTGACTGGTACGGACTTGGAGCGTAGTGGATCCTGTGGTGAAAACCTTGAAACATTAACAGTGACTGTGTCATTACGCTTACTAAAAATCCAGAGAAATACATGCACATAATGGACGAAAAGAGAAAACAATCAAAAATAGATGTAATGAAATGAAGCAAATGATTTATTTCCCCATTTGTATTCGCCATGCACACAGGATACTCATTTAATCATCATGACTGACGGCGTGGCATACAGTACTCTTCCCTGATAGGCTTAGGGACAAGGTAGGAAGGATTAACTGCTGAGGAAGATCTTTTTTCCAGCTTAGTAGGAGATGACAGAGGATTGGAGGACAGTAAACAGAGATTAGGCTGCCCTGAAGTAATCAGATGTGAAAACACACCTAACTGCGAAGGCCAACGCTTCCTTCAATGTTATAACTGCACTGAGTTGGATTCGAGGTCAGGGTCACTCCCGCTGCTGCGGAGCCCATCAGGCAGCTTCTCCCTTCTGTGCTGGGTGAAGGCAGTGATGAATGTATTTATTTCTTTATGAAACACTGCTCTCCGACATAACAAACGTATGAACTCCTCTGTACTACCACTGAATGCTGAAAGCACAGCCATGTAAGTTCTACACCTGCACTATCATTGGGACTTCAATGTAAAGTTCTGCATTGGCGCCTCCTACTGGACGACAGCTGCCTCTACACACAGCACAGCGCAGATGTCACGTATCCCTGTGTGCGTTTGTAGGAATTATGCTGACTGAACTCTAAACAGTGAGGTGCATCCCTGTAAGCAGCTTTGGCTCTCACACTTCTTTTCTTTTGTGTTCTTTTGAAATAAAATAAATATTTGATTCTAGCGATTTTTCTAAAAAATATTGGTGTTACATCAAAAAGATTTACAGATGCCACGGGCAGTAT